CATTTCAGCTGAAACACGGATAATATTTGATCATCATTTTACACATACACTGGCAAATCGAGGAACGCCTACCGACTGGCGCAAGCTAATACCTTTTCGCTTTTCTTTGAACTAGATGTTTTACCACCGATTCGCGATTTAACCAAATTTCGAAGCTCATTAATCGCTTGGTTAGCCAAAGCCTCGACAGTTCGTGCACCTACAAAGGATTCAGTTCATGATAAATTTTAACAGTCTGCTTCACCGTTATAGTCAATTGGCGATTGCTTGTCAGCACCGAAGATCTTAATTGTTGGAAAGCCCTTCACATTGTACGGCGCACCAACCGAAGCATGGTCAACCATGTTCACACCTCCAACCTTTATTACACCCTGCAAAACAGAGACATGCTACCGAAAATTTCTCAGCGATGTTAAAGAATCATTACTTTTAAAACTTTCGCTAACTTCGCAAATTCGGGCGCAAAGGCCTGACAATGGCCGCACCTAAGAGTTCAAATTAAACTACCCAAAAAACGTTATGACAAAAAAAATAAAAACCTTTGTCAAAGTAGCTATCTCATCTAAAGTCATTAGACGGAAACAACCTAGATCTAAACAGTGGCGATAACTGGATCAACGCTTTCGTAACGAGGTTGCATACATAAATGCACATCGACTAGGATTTAACGGTTTAAGGCTTACAAAGGCTCATAACGCTTTAATGAATCAATATTAAAGGCAGTCAAAAATCAAAATTCTTTTGATTTTTTTTGCAACAAGCAGAAAGCTAATCCGTCTGTGGGTTCTCATCGATATGTTCAGAAAACTCTAGTACAATATCATATTACTCAACGTAAAGCCTAATTCTAAAAACTACACATATTCTAACATCTGAAACTCTGCCCTATGATTCATTAACTGGGCAACTGATATCATGGATATTTTCGGTACGACGAATAATATCAGAAATCAGTGACAGCGACTGACCTATTTGAAAAGAATAACGAAAAACAATCCAAAACGTTAAAAGTTGTGCGCTCTAGCATTTACTAGAAAAAAATGCCAGTCGCTGCGGTATCGAGTCTCCTGAAAGTATTTTACAACACAGCTTTAACTCGTGAACAGGGAATCGGCAATAAAAGCAAATACGGAAAGTGAAAGTGTAACTACAGCACAAGACTCGCAATCCAAATACCTATGTTCATATTCTGCCTATAGCACATATCTGCTTAATTAAGATGTGCGAACGATTAAGAATGGCACTTCTGCCACATTAAATAAGATGCACCTCGCTGATAACGCTAGGAGATCAGCGTCGCGAAAGAACTCGAAAATGATGCAATCAATGTGGTATGATGGGGTTCTATGTTCCTTCGAGGGTTTTATTCCATATTTCAACGGCTACAAATTTATCTTGTTTTCCTTTCGGAAAACTGCGGCAAAACTGCAAAAATAAAATTCAGAGAAAATCTGATTGAGCGATAGGAAGGCAAAGAGAAGCAAATTTATTCTAGGTCATTGCCAACTATAACTCCAAATTATGATCTGTAGAACAAAAAATGATTACCACGGTGCGTAAAATTCAACCACCCAGACGCTGTCACTGTCGATAACTCTGGACTGAAAATTCGAAGCAGTCAAGTCCACGACATCCGGGTTGCCGTCGTA